CAGCTAATCTACCAGGGGCTTCACTTGGTGTTCCTTCCGTAGATGTCTGCAAAGTTAGGGCGGCACTGTTTTTTGGAGTTTTTTGGTTCTTTTTCTGATTAAAGGATTGGAATCCACCGTTGTCAGTTAGGTTCTCCTTGTTCTGCCAACGTTTCCAGATCCTACTGCGACTGCGCCACTTTTTATATCACGAAACACTTTTTTGACTTTTTAAAAAATTTATTAATTACAAAATATAAGTTACGTGGTAAAAATGAATGAAATATAAAATATAATGAATGAACTACAAAATATACTGAATACTGAATTAAGAGCGACAAGCGGTTTTATAATATTACTAAATGCTGACTCAGTGGGAACGTGTAAAAAGCTTGGGTCCCGCTGACTCTGCTGGTACTGCATTTGCAAGGATCCTTATCGGCTCAGGTTGTTGGAAATGAAACCTGATACCCTGGGAATCGTCGTGATAAGGAACATTGGTTGGTACAATGCATATAACATATATATATATATATATATAATATATATATATATATATATATATATATATATATATATATATATATATATATATATATATATACAAATATCGATATATCCTGGATTTACAATTTCTCCTATTTGTTCACAGTTAACACGTTAAAAGTATTTTCAAATCCAAGCATTAAATTCGGTTTGTATTTTATAGTTTAACACAAAAACTTCGCCTTTCTACAGGAAAGATATGAACATAGAAAATTTAAAATTACATAAGTTTTACTAAAACTCAAACTTTAAATGAAAGTTACCTACTAAGAAAAAACGAAAAAAATGCAAACGCGAGCTGCCACAGGTTCTAAGATCTTAAAAGTTTGGAAAACTGCAAAAACTTAATAACGTAGGTATATGTTAAGGAACTTAATAAGGGACATATTTCTGAACAGCTAGTGATACCTTAACGACAGCAGGGAAAAATATCTATTTTGATGGTACACAAGGCAAATATCGAACACAGTATTTAATTAAATCTTGCCCAAGTACTTTCGATCACAAGATCATCCTCAGGGCATTTCGTCAATTGTGGCCTATCCAGCAATAACCGAATGTCATACATGTAAACTGGGACATAACAAATACACTAAAGACAAACAAACACTTTAAAATTTAAATTGGAGAAGCTACATTTTTATATTATAGAAGCCGAAGTCTCCGGCTTCTCCAATTTAAATTTTAAAGTGTTTGTTTATCTTTAGTGTATTTGTTATGTCCCAGTTTACATGTATGACATTCGGTTATTGCTGGATAGGCCACAATTGACGAAATGCCCCTGAGGATGATCTTGTGATCGAAAGTACTTGGGCAAGATTTAATTAAATACTGTGTTCGATATTTGCCTTGTGTACCATCAAAGTTCATTTATTCGAACATTCAACCTTATATTGAAAAATATCTATGTACAGTTGCGGTCACGGAATAGTTTACACCTTACTTTTTATATTGTAATACTGTAAAATTGCAGTGTCGTACGGATTTGATAAATGTCAAAGTCAAAAAATTTCAAAACGTCAATGCTTTCGCGAGTGTTCAACAATAAAATAAAAGTATATTAAACTCTTCCAAAATGGTTAGAATACATTTGAATTATGCGCAAAAAGCAAGAGCAATTGCCAAACTCGAAGAAGGTTGGTCACTAAGGCAAGTTGCTGCTGATTTGAACGTGAGTCATATGTGCATATGGAAGATTAAACAAAGATGGGATAATTTTCACTCTATAGCACGGTTGGGCGGTTCAGGAGGGCAGAAGATTTCCGCAGATCAACAGGATGAGATGTTAGTAGATTATTTGAGAGAATCTCCTTTTGCCACAGCTCAAAAGGCAAGAGAAGAGGCAGCGTTTCCAGGCAGTATTCGCACTGCACGTCGAAGAATTAAAGCAAGTGGACTGCTAAATTGTGTAGCTGCACGGAAACCTGTTTTGACTGAGGATCACAAGAGGAGACGAGTTGAATTTTGTAATGAATTTATAAACCGCGATGAGAATTTTTGGTCTAGGGTTGTATTTTCCGATGAAAAAGTATTTCAGTCGTATAATAATGGTCGAATAAGAGTTTATAGGCCGAGAAATCATAGGTATGATGAACAGTATACGCATCATTTAAGAAATAGTGGAGGATTCTCTGTCAACGTATGGGGATGGATAAGTGCCGAAGGCCCGGGCGTTTGTTATCATGTAGAGGAGAAGTTAACAGGATTATATAACAAACATATTATTGAGCACACAATGTTACCATCGATGATCCAGAGATTCCCCAACAACGACTTTATCTTCCAACATGACAATTGCCCGGTGCATACGAGTAGAATTGTTCGAGAATGGCTAGAAGAAACTGATGTTAATGTTTTTCCGTGGCCTTCCCGTAGTACAGACTTTAACCCCGTCGAAAATGTGTGGGCAGAGTTAACAAAGAAACTAAATGAAAGAAACCTTAGACCACGGAATAGAATTGAATTATGGGAAGCAATTGAGCAGGCATGGGAAGAGCTTGTTAACTATAACATGAGGGGATTGGTGCTATCTATGAACAGAAGACTGCAAAATTGTATTGACAAGAATGGGGCTTCCACCAAATATTAATTATTATTTATCATTGTTTATCGTTATTTAATATAAAATAGATTTAAAATAAAATGCATATTAAAAAAAAAGACTTCTTTATTTTCGTTATTAAGATCATAATCCATTTTATTCAAAAAACTGTTTTCTATATCTTTCATTTTGTAAAATATTTTGATATTTTAATTTTAATCTACCTATTCTAGCTAGTACACCACTGGCAACGTCACTTTGACGTAAAAGGTGCGTTTAAACGAAGTAAAAATTTAAAAAATGGGCTCCTAGATACGTGAACCTGTAAACTATTCCGTGACCGCAACTGTACGTAGGTATATGATAAGCCGTATTTGTTTTTACCATTGGTAGGTTGCTAACCTTGCCAATAAGAACAAAAAAAAGATGCCAAATGGGAGAAAAACAACTTAAAATAATCTGCTATGCAGACGACGCAATACTACTCAGTATTGCGTCAATACTGAGTGAAGTGAAGATGATTTACGACGTATGCTGCACCAATTTAATATAACCGCCAGAAAATTTAACATCTCAATTTTCCCAACAAAGACGAAATACATGGTTACAACAGCAAATTTACTAAGATGTAAATTGCAGCTAGAAGGTCAGATAATAGAACAAGTGATGGAGTTTAAATATCTAGGCATCACATTATCTAGCTACGAAAACCTCGAAACCGAAGTGGAAGATCAAGTGAATAGAGTAAACAGAGCTGCAGGCTGCCTAAATAAAACAATATGGAGAAATAAAAATATCCGAAAGAAACGAAAGGCAGAATTTACAAAACAGCCATCAGACCAATAATGACACACGTGACAGAAACAAGACCTGATACAGAGAGGACAAAAATAATGTTAGAAACAGCAGAGATGAAAACCCTTAAAAAGATTGATGGTAAGACACTATGGGACAGAGCTAGAAGTACAGATATGCGATATAGATGCAAGGTTGAGAACATCAAAAACTGGGTAAGAAATATAAGAGTAGAATGGAACGATCATATAAGCCGAATGACAACAAATAGAGTAGTAAAGACAGCTTCTCCAATAGGAAGACGATCAGTAGAAAGACCACGAAAACGACGGAATAACAACTTATTCGAGGCACATTAAAAAACAGACAGAGTCATGTCTATATAAAAAGAAAAAGAAGTAGAAGAAGAAGTATATGACAAGATTGTGAAAAAAAAAACAAACCCGGCCTAATTATTACTGAACCATTTCACAATAAAGATTTGTTTATGGTTAAGTTACTGTCACTATCCTTCCCATTCGTTCCATGCGGCTATCTTATTTATATACGTATTTGAAATATGCTTTTCTATGTACCTATCTTGTATACAAAAAAAAAAAAACACGAAAAAACCGGTTTCGATCTAGTTCGAACAGTTTCGAAAAATATTAGAAAGCTATATAGAAACGCAAATATTATATATTGTAATATTATGTACGTATATCCGTCTTTTTTTTTAAACTCTTAATACAATTGAGTTAGCTACAGATATTCTTAATCAATTAACCATTAACCAATTCAGTGAAGTCAGCTTTTAAGTTAAAACAACATTAATAATAACGATTTTAAGATTTCTCCATTACATCTAGATTTTTACTCTCCTGTAACATTTTGAATTTGGTTTTTTCCGAAATTTCAATTTTAGTTCCTCGATTAAATTGGGAAAAATGGATATTTTCATAGTTGCGGCATCTACCGTCGTTTCTGAATAGTTATTAACATGAATTATAGAAAACTGTACCACTGAGGTCGTTTGTATACACACAACAAATATACAAATGTAGATGGCGCTGAATAATTTTTCTTTAAAATATCCAATTTTTGATTTTAAATAATTTTAAACCTTCGGTTAATCAGTATTTTTGTTTGATCCACCCAACGGCTTGGATATGTTCCACCGAGCGTTTTTCCTTCAACTCTATCCTCGATAATTAGTTTTTCCATTGTATGTACCTGTTCTTCTAACAAGGTGTCCAAAATACTACAAATATTTCTGTTGTATTGCTTATAGTCCAGTCGACAGAGATTGGACCTCTAAAAATCATTCTTCTTCCTATTGCGCCGTTTCCTTTCGAAAGTTTGCGATCAAAATGGCAATTGTAGCTTTGAAAACTGCTGCACTAAAGATTTCTGTCAATGAGCAGTCAAACCATCTTCTCAGCTCTTTCAGCCACGAGTTTTAAAAATCATACGAACAATATATTTTTTACTTTGAGTTGTTCTAGTATTGTCTACTATTACTAATTAAGTAAATATTTATCTTCTTTCTTAGATTAAAAATTTAGTAAATACTTATAAAAATGGAGAAAAATACAACTGGAACAACAGGAAAAAAATGCTGAGTTTGAGATTTACGTCAATTTGACATTAATACTAGTGGTATAAACTGTCATTACGGAAACAATGTTAAAATTTTTTTAAATGTAGTTTTATTCAATATAAATTTTGATTTTTTTGAAATGGAAGATGAGGAAGAAATTGAAGGTAAGATGAAAGTCTACTATATACTTACAAAAGCTTAATTTTTATATAATACAATGCGATAACAAAAATGTCTGTAAATACATAATTAGCAATAAATATGTTGTTTGTTTGTGAAACCATTTTTGGATATTTGGATGGGTATAACGAAAATAATTTATGTAAATTTAGATTTTCTGAATGATCCTTGCTCTACTCCTGATCAATTTACAATAAGAAATGACAAATACTTATTTTTATTTTTTAAAATAGTCTTCTTTCAGGTTAACTTATTTATGTTTTCAACATTTTTGTCATGTTTCTCAATATATGTTCGAGCTTTTCAAAGCTCTGATTTACACGTGGTATAGTTGGATGGGGCATAGTCCCCCATCGGGCGCGTCCCACTGTGGCGGATAGGGGAATGCCTCCCAGATATGGGTGGTACCGGGGAAATGAAATACCCGGCGTGGACCAAAACTAGCAAAACAGTAGCGTCTGATCCAGAGTGCCCGGCTACGAATAGCGTCTGACCCAGAGTAGGCGGCTGATACAGAACTCACCAACCCGTCTGGCAAGCGAGGTGTTTTAATGTCAAAAAACCATCTTCAGGAAACATGTCGAATTATGAAACAAACGGAATAGGATCCCAGGTGGGTAGAGTTACTAACTCGGAATCCCACACCGGGAAACCGGTTCGCCTCAAGGATTCTGGGGGAGGCAAATATTCGACAAAAATAAAATGTACATTAACATTAACATTAACATTAAAAAAACAGTCTACCCGGTCTCTCACACATTGACGCCACTACCTAAAGGTTAATGTAATAATAGTAATTGTTTAAAATATTGAAAAAAAAGATATAAGACTATAGATACATATAACATTTCATCATTCAAGATTTATCTATATGAAAGCTTATCAGCTTTCTACAGACCATTTATTTGTTTTGGCATATCACAATCACAATACACAATAATAATTAGTTTTTAAAGCTATTATTTTAAATTAAATATGTACTTATCTATTTATTTAAAACAAAAACAACATTCCTACTTTAAAAAAGCCGTAACACTTTATACACTTTTGCCACACACTTAACTGTCAATCAAATTTGAAGTATTTCCATATCAGTTGCGTACTAATATATTCTAATATACGTCTAATACATTTAATTAAAATTATTTTTTTGTGGAATATTAGACTTAAAGAGGTATTTCATAAAATTTATATTATTAATAATAACAAATGTTTTTGGTTATTTAATCAATATACTTCTAAAATTTCCAACATAATGATGATTACATTTTTCTGATTATTACACCATATTGACGCCTATGAAAGATCGAGCAGTTCCGTATGGGTTTCGTATTATTAGCTGTGTTAGTAAAATTTGAACTTTAAGTTTGATGTTCTGGAAATTTTAAATACAAGTCACTTTGTATAAATTGTGACGTGCAAGTGTTTTACTTTGAAAAATGGTATATATGTCATTTACTAAATGCTTTATTATTCGTACAATCATTAAAACAATATTATTCTATTTTCACTTTTTTATTTATATAATTTTTATTTTAAGTGAAGACTTTCATTTTATCCAATTTTTGGTTAAATTTGACACTGCCTTTATGTTACTAATATACTTGTTTTCATTAGTGCCCATAGAAAATGATTTAGAACGAAGAATCGCCGACGCATTTTCTGTTTTCGATCAATACCAAACCAAAACGATTGACCTAAAAGATGTAGCTAGTATTATTAGAGGACTAGGTTGCTGCCCCACTGAAGCAGATATTCAAGATATTATTTCTGGTCTTAAAAACGCCAAGTGGCCTGGATGTGTTCATTTGGTAAACTTTTTACCCAAGGCCTTTACTTTAATTTCAGATCACAAGTAGGTATTAAAAAAATTACTTTAAGATCAAAATTTATTTTAAAACAAATATTTTTTTCTTTCTTCTTTTTTATTTTTTTCTCTAGGCAAATCACCTGCTTAAGCTTCCACCATCCATCCACCTAAATTAATGTTCAGATTGTTGCTACAATTTTATCTGAGTCGTCCTATACTATTCTGTCCTCTTTCCTCTTTCTTATCTTAGGTCGATTAAATACCAGATTTAATAAAACGCAAGTTTAATTAAAAAAATCTATTCAAATCAATAACAACCAGAATAAAATTTAACAGGAGACTTTAACGGCAGAACCGGAAGGAAAGAAAACGATAAAGTAGTGTGGGGAGATTTGGAGAGGATGAACAAAACGATAACGGAGAACGCCTGATTGAATTATGCGAACTAAACAACCTAAAAATCGCTAACGGATCCTTCAGACTTAAAAATATTCATAAATATACATAGATGCAAGAAACGTAAAAGCTCAAATCGATAATAGACCACGTAATAGTCAATAAAGATACCACAATAAAGACAAAAGATGTGAGAGTCATAAGAGAAGCAGAATGTGAAACTGACCATAAACTACTGGCAGCAAAAATGGGCATTATTTGGAAACATAGCAAGACCCCCTCTACAGAAGAACGGTTGAGTACTATAAGAGAAAAACAATACAAATAGAGCTACTCCAAGATCAATTAATAAGAGAACTATACAAACAACGTCTAGACCAAAAATTAATAGAATTTAGAAACGGTAACATCGAAGAAATATACGAGCATATAAAGGTGAGTATCAAACAAGCAGCATTCGAAGTCCTTGGAGAGAAACAACATATGACAAATAAACTGCACTATTATGAAATAAATAAACCACAAAAAGAATAATTGACAAAAAAAGCAACTACACAGAAAAACAAACAAAGATGAAGTTTACAAAGAATATAGAGAAAACGATAAATAAGTGTAAAAACAAATAACACAACAAAAGAATGAAGACTGGAAAAGAACCTGCTTAAATATTGAAACATACGTAGGAGGTCCAAGAACTTCTGAGTCATGAAAAGTACTGAGAGGATTAAAACAAATCTCAACAGAAAAAAATTAAATTGGGAAATATACAGGACAAAGAATAGAAAGAACTATTACAAGGAACTGTTAACAGAACAAAGACTACAATTCATTGGAAAATAAAACAGGCGAAGACGAAGCAGATCCCCATAACAAAAAATAAAAATAACAAATAGTGAAATGGGAACGGCTATAAACGCAATCAAAAATAAGAAAGCACCAGAACCTGAAGGCATCTCACCTGAGCTTATAAAGAACGGCTCAAAAAAATTAAATCGGATAATAAAATGGATATTTGAGAAAGCAAAGTTGTTCCTCCAGGAACTACTTCATTCCTGAAGTGTAAGTTATGAGTAAGAGAGGCCTAAACGGTGGAGAACGGGACAACAGAGAGGGATGGAAACGCTTGAGCGAGGGAAGGCAGTGAATTCTGTAGAGTCTTTGAATATATATATATATATATATATATATATATATATATATATATATATATATATATATATATATATATATATATATATATATGTTAAATCACTAACTTCTTGATTGACTTTTTAAAAAAGATTTATTTCACAAATAAAAGTTACACTTAGTTATACGATAAAATGAAGCAAATAAAATTATATAATACAAATGTTATTAGTAAGAAACTTATATGACGAGTGAAAAATATAATGTTAGTCCTGAATTTATAATCTATCTACAAAATGTGGTGTCGGCATTTCCCACGAAAGGCCAGCTTTGGTCAGAGTTTGATGTCCGTGCATAGTCAGCTATCTCTATGGGAACGCTTGCTAAAAGAATGATGAAATAGGAACTGATATTGCGAAACCAAAGTGTCGGTAACCCTTGAGTGGTTCAAGGTGACTATTTTCACATATAACAGCTCCCCTCATTAGTGAAAAGTCGATGCCTTGCTTCGACTTTTAAAGCTCAATTGGGGTTTCGGAGACGTCTTCATTTTCTGGGCGTACGTCTGGTCTTCTTTTAAAGGTTAATCCTTTAAGTTTTTGTTTAATGGAACTGCTGCGATGTGGTGAAGGTGGAGGTGAGTCCTGAGGGTAGTTCATGGCAAGTCTTGGAAATCTTTTGCGTCTACATTTGCAGAGGATGTATACAAAAACTAGAATGATAATTAATGATAAAGACAATATAGTGAACCAAGGCAAATGTTTTTCGATGAATGGTTGGTTCATGATTTGATCGAGTTCTTCTGAATATTGGTCCAGCTTATGTTGTGCAATATTTAAATCGTCTGTATTTATCTTATTGAGTTTTAATGGTTTCAAATTTGGTATATGGTTTCTTCTTCCGAAATGGTCACAACATCTGTATGGAATATTAACTGGATGACTTCTGTAGGTTATATTTGGATATTTATTGATTTGATCTCTGGCGTGGACTCTGGTACTTCCAATAAATGCTGTACATTCGGGTAGTAATCTTAAAATTGTGTTTACTTTGATTGTCTGGGTACTAATGTCTTTTCTTTCACACTTGATTGTAACTGGTAATGGATCGGATACTGTTATTAACCATAAATTTCGGTCAATTTCTTGCACATTGTAATCTTGTGCTAAAAACGTCGACATCTGACAAGTTTTTGGTAGAAAGCTAACTGGTTTCAATAACTGTGCCTCACATATAGTATCGCTGTCTATTGGATAGGGAAGAATATCTGTGCACATTCTTTGATTTGGACTAATTGATTTGCATTCTTCTGTGTTTCGGGGTAATACATATGAAATTGAATCATCATCTCGCGCTATATACTTATGTATTGTAGAGAGTGTATGAAAAAGACCAGTTTGATTATCTAATATTGGTATCGAATATAGATGATATAAGGTATAGATTTCGGGGTCGACTAATGGAATTTCTAGGACGAATACAATTTTGGAATCGAGTTGATATGCTTGAAGTTTTATTATATCAATATATTGGGCTATATTTGATGTATAAATGGGCAATGGTAATACATTATTTTGTAATGATTGTGAGATAGTTTTCAATGAATCTAGTAAATCATTGGGCGAAATAATTGAACTGTGTAAAATTTGCAACCGAGAAAAGGTGATGGCGTTCAAAATGTCATTGAGATAATTTTCTAAAAATATGTAGCTTTCCATTAATGATTCACACAAATTTAAGGTTTGTAATTGTGCACGGTAAAATGATATGTCGTCTGCAATGTCTATAAGAGTGGTTTCGATATCGTTTAGGTCTTTGTTAAAAGTTTGTTCGTCTATTTGTAATTTTTGGATAGTAGTGTTAAAAGATTTTATGACAGAAGTTGTAACAGAGATTTGGTTCTTTAGGAGTGTTTCTATTTGCTTTTCATCTGTAGTGATCTTATTTATACATTGATTGAAATATTCGCCGTCTGATGCGTCTAAATTTCCACTAATAGATTTCCATAAGGTTCCAACACCATTGATTAATCCTCGTTTTTGGCGTGGATTATAGGCTCGTGTGTCGGCAATTACTTCTCTATATTTTAAATTTACGGAATTAGAAATTTGTCTTATCAAACTAATGTGTGTTTGTACTTCGGATTGAAATGCAAGTTTTCTTGGAGTATCGGCCTTAGTAAATTTATCTAGCAAGTTTTCTAAAATTTTGTCGTTGTTGGATATGGCAGTTTCTATAGGGAGCAATTCCTTGTAAACAAGTAATGTCCATTTATCGTTAGATATTCGAATGGTACCTTCTTCGTGATAGAAGATTCCGACTGTATTATTAATGGGAGAGAGGTAAAATTGGGAGTAGGCGACTGAGAATAGTCCATAGAATCTGTAAAGAAGAAATTTATTCAAAATAAGGTTTCAGTCTGTCAAAGTTTACTTTAGAGGTTTGGTTAGTTTTGGGGTTAAGGATAATTGCGGAATTTGTAAAAACTTCTTGAATTTCGAAAGGTCCATTAAAAAGATTATCTGATTTTGATTTAATTTGGGATTCTTTTACGTAAACTTTGTCACCAATTTTAAAATCAGGTCTTCGTTCTGAAATATTCTCGTCAAATCTTACTTTCGCCTTTTCTTTCTGTCTTTCTGTTTTTGCTTTGGCTACTTTGTAAAAATATTCCATGCGATTATTCAGGTCTCGAATATATTTGCTCATTAGTGTTTTTTGATTGTATAGCGTTTCTGGTGGTCGGCTTGCAGTGTGCCCAAATATAAGTTCATATGGTGTGAAACCGTGGGTCTTATTTTTTGTGTTGTTATAGCATATTATTGCATAAGGAAGTATAGTGAAGGGATGATCGTTTGGGTTCTCGGCTTGATTTGCTCTAATCATTTCTGAGAGTGTGGCATGAAATCTTTCCACAGACCCATTAGATTGTGGATGGTTAACACTAGAAAATGTTAGTTTGATGTCGTATAATCCGCATAGATCTTTGATTATAGCATTCTCGAATTCTCGACCGCAATCACAATGAATTCTTAGTGGTGTTCCATAGTGTTGAAAGAAGAGTAGGAGTGTGTTGGCTACTGTTACTGCCTTTTTGTCTTCCAAAGGGTAGGCTTGCGTGAATTTTGTCAATTCATCACGAATAGTTAAAGCGTAGTTTCTGGTGGGGTATTCAAATATGTCTATGTTGATCCTTTCAAATGGTGTTTTTGGTGTTTCCGTTATAACTAATGGTCCACTTAGATTTTTTCTGTAAATTTTAACCTTTTGGCAAATTTCACAGGCTTTTATATATTTTTCTACGTCTTTTGCTAAGTTCTTCCAATTATATTTTTCTTTTATACGTCTAACGGTTTCGTTTATTCCTCTGTGCAAGTTATTTTTGCCACAATGGTAATGTTCTAGGATTTGTGGGGTTTCGTCTTCGCTTGCCTGTTTAATTACATTTTGGCAGATTTTTAATTTAAGTTCTTTGTCTGCAAATATATAGGAAAATATTTCTAGAATGGGAAGTTCGATAT